GCAGCGGCCTATATTTCTAGGAGCTGCGCATCGCGGAGCTGCGACAGTTGGCGGCCTTTTCGCACCACTAATCTTGTGCTAGATATCTTAATCCGCGTTTTGCATAGTCAGTAAAAATTATCACTTTACGAAAATGCACCTACGTGATTGGCTGAAGAACTCCATGCTCGAAAATGATAAAATATCGATCGATAGCTTCCACTAGACCTTGTGCAGCGATTGGATTTTGTATAAAGTTACGTATGATTGAACAGTATTGCACAGTCATCTAAAAAAGAGGATTACGGTAGCAGTACGGTAGCGAGCCCTTCACTGCAATATTCAAAATCTGCCCTCAGACTTGGGAATTTTTTGTGTCACACTTGTAAGCGGCCCTACCTCTTTGTCTTTCATCATAAGGTAGCCAACGTCTGTCACGAAATTGTATGCAGCAGCAAGGAAGAAGAAAAATGCACTAGTCAAAAACATTTTTTTCGGCCTGTGCTGCATATAAGCGTTGTTAGCAATGCTGATAAGCATAATTGAGACATAAATGATTGTCAAAGTGTGTATCGGCAGATATATTAGTACATCACTGAAGTAGTAGTCATCTATGTAGATGGTCATTTGGAAGTTTCCAGAGAAGTTAGCATAGATGGCCTCATAGCTCATCGTGTAGGAGGGTAGCAAATCTGTTTCGCCTTAGAACGCTCATATGCATGAGAATGCACCTGCTCTAGAGGCTGTGATCAAGTCTAAGGTTTCTAATTTTTACGCGACTAATTAGAGCAAATGACGATTTTCCTGTAGACCTTTGGCCTTGCGTGGCAGGTTTTGCGAATCAAAAATTCTTATTTTTAGAAATAAGAATTGAAAGAGTAATAGGGCGGCACGTATCCACTCTTGTTATCACCTTAGTTTGTGATTTTACTAGCCAAATCAAAAAGTCATTATATCTTACTAATTAGATATCATTTTGTTTAGTGCCGTTGCGGTACTGACATCCCTTGCGCGGGAAAACCAGAAGCAAGTCATTGCACGCAGACAACGCCGGGCTTTTCTTTTTTTCTTGCTTGTCTTCTCGATCGGACGCATACCGGAAGCTTGAATGATTTTTTCATGCACTAAACCAAATGATATTACCGGGAACGACTGCACCTCATCAGCAACTGATAACGTGCAAATATCTATACACATGGAAGAAACTAGGTAGTTTTCGACTGCGTCTTAATGCGTAAGAAAATGAGTCTTACGCAAATATGAGCCACCCTTATCAGATGCTCAATGCAAAATTACCCAAACAATTTTGAACATTATACGGAGTTTTGTAAAGATTTTATCCACTTGATTGAGAATTTTTGCAATAATTATACTGAACGAGTACATTGTTAAAGTAGTAGCCGTATTATATAATTTGGTGTGCTGGCGTTGTCGACAGCACTTGCGCGCAAAGAGTGGTGAAATGTGCGTTTTGTGGCTATTTCTTGAGTGCAGCTGTTGTCCACATCACGAGAATAACAATCTTTTCA